GGGGGGTCTCCACGTGCTTGGTGGCAAACTCGGAAGTACTTCTGGTCCACTTCTGGGTCTGCTGGGGAGCGTGCTGAGGGGCTCTCATGCACCCCCCTGGCTCAGCAACTGGCCACAGGGGGATGCTGGGGACCACCCCCAGACCCACAAGGCACCAGTCAACAAGCCAGGAGGGTGCGGGGGAGGGCCCTGTTAAAGGGTCTTCTGATTCGATTCAGATTCAGGGATTTGGCCACCGAATCAGGCCGAATCTTCACTGAATCGAATCAGGGACTGAAGCTTTGCACAGCCCTACCAGCTACCTGTGTGTTTAAACTGGCCACCAGATACAAAGGGTTACTTAGAAAAAACATAAAACACATATTCTAATATGTCAACTTCTTATTACAAAATAGATTATTTAATTCATGCTGGGCATATCTACACGAGATGCTGTGTTACCGTAATGACGAACTATGGTGATGTAGCTTGTTGCTATGGCAATGTAGCGATGGCAGGCATGAACCATGATGCCAGTGCTACTGCACAGTATCTTGTTGCTACTGTGCTTGTTGCTACTTTGTAGTAGGTCTGGAAATGACCCAGGTGCTGCTGGGACTGTGCAGTAACAGTGGTTACTGCACAGTCATTTAGTACTAAAGCAAGTACTAAATGACTGAGCAGAAAGTGCAGTTGGGCACATGTGTAGATGGGCCCACTGATTACAATTAGAGCTGAGTGAAGAAAGGCAATTCCATCTTAATATTCCAGAATTTGGTTTTGTTCTGATTTGTGATGAAAAGAAAATGCGCTGAAATTTTCCATGATAGAGAATAGACTTCTATGGGTCAGTCTATCTGGGGCTACAGACCCAGAAAGCCCTGGGGTTCCGGATTCCAAGACAGACCGCCAGACAAGCTGCTAATGATTCAGAAGGGTGAGCTGATCAGAAAGCTGGCCAGTTACTGACAGAACCCCCCTGGCAGACAAGGTTCCATGGGATCCTGCCTGGGTCGCACCAGAAGGTTGTTGAAATTCAGTCATCTCTGCAGAACATTTCAATTTTGGCACATTCAAACAAAAGCCATTCACTGGAGTGGTTCCAATCAGCTCTAGTTACAATTACAGACGGTGCGCATAAACGCAAGTGGAATTCAGAATTATTACCCAAATTGTCACCAGGACTTCTTGTATGCAGCACATTTGTGGGAAGATGCCCCTTTTTAAAAGTCTCCAAAGTGCCACTCTCATCTGCCTAACTTCAGACTAACACAACTCCACCACACTTCCCTGCTGTAGTACAGTGTGGGCATATATACAAGTTCATCAATGCACAGTAGTTACTGCGCTTTAGTTTAGTACCTGCTTAATGAAATACTAACTAAATGCACAGTAACAGTTACTGCGCAGTAGTGCTGGCTCATACTGTTTTATGATGCTTACTGAGCAGTAGCCTAATACTACAGCACAGCAGTGTATTAGTATGGTTTTGGCCCAGCATGCACAATGTTATTAGGCTACTGCGCATTAAGTGTCTCATGTAGACACACCCTGTGTATCACTCACAGTGGAAAATAGGGACATGAAAGGCAAGCTCATCCAGACAGGCATGCAGTTATTAATATAGTACAGTAAATACAACATTAAGCTGCATTAGCTTGGAGGCAGCCTACTGCCAGCTACCTATGTGTTTACATTGGCTGTTAAATACAATCCCAACCCCCGCCCCCCTCCCCACAAAAAAATGAAGCTTCCCAGGCAGAAAAAGCAGAACAATAAAAAGAGAAAGGTCCCCTATTAACTAAACTGAAGAGACTTAGAGTGTCACAGGATGACAGAGCAATGAGGAATAGCAATCAGGAAGCTTGTTATTGTTGGGAATAGCAGAAGAGAACTTTTTGTAATTTGGTCTGAAATCTAAACAGCTATGAACTTAAGACTGAGGTTATTGGATGAAGAGTAGTTTTTAAAATGAAGGGTTATTCTTGGAAGCTAAAGTTCAAGAACACAAACAGAACAAATCAGAGTTTTAAAAAATGGCCATGTTCTTGGAAAAGTAGCACTGTTAAATTCTGTAAACACAATGGCTTTGCAGTGTGTTAAGTCACCAAAGTAGGATGGTACAATAGAACCAGTCTTGTCTGCTATAGCTCTTGCAGAATGCTGTGGGTCTGATGCTCCTTATTAGCTCTCTTTAGTTTTAACTGACTACATTTACACAACTTATTTTTCACTATGAGATTTTAAATTTGCCTATGTTTTAACCCACTTTAGAGCCAAAATACAAATAATTTCAAATCAGTTGGTACAACCCCACATCTTGTGGGTGACCCCTTTAATATTCTGGAGAACATGTCATTGCAAAATGTAAAACTAACAGCCTTACTGCAGCTCAAGGAGACTGATTATCAAGAACTAGAAGATCTTGTTACAGCCCAAATCTTTTTTTAAACACTCTGAAGCACAGTAGAAAATGCCAAGTACAAAATAAACAAATAGCATCCACAAAGACCACAAATCTGATACAGACAAGCAAACACACCAAAGATAGTTAAACTGTGGAAGTGTGAATAAAGAAGGGAATTACCTTCTGACTTTGCTTTAACTTGAGAACAACCATATACATCAGTAGTACATGAACACAGATAATTTACTGACGATGTTCTATAACAGTGGTTCCCAACCTTTTTTTTTACCATGACCCAGCAGGAGCGGGATGGGGCGCGTGGAGCCAGCTGCCTCGCTGCCCAGTTTTAACCCCGGAAACTCAGCTGTGACCACGGAAGCCACTTGCCTGGGCAGACAGATGAGGCTCTGAGCAGGGAGCTCATGCAGCCAGGCCACGGCCCAGTAGTTGGGAACCTCTGTTCTAGAAGCCCAAAGACTGCGACAATTTGCTTAAATATTGATGTAATTGTTAGGGTTGTCAATTAATTGCGGGTAACGTGTGTGATTAATGTAATAGTAGTTCTTTGTGTTCATTTTTTTAACATGTTAATCATCCATGTGGTTTTGGAGCCTGCACCCCAGCTCCACTCTGCCACTGTCACATCCACCTCTGGGCTTCCCCACGGGGAGTGGTGGCAGTGCAGAGGACTGCAAGGCAGCCAAGGTGTGGGTTCCTGGTGGCTGCAGTGGGGTGGAAGGGGCGCACACAGACACAGTCACGCAGCTGCAGCCTGCAAGTGGCCAGGAACGCAGCCCAGCGGTGTGTGGAGTAGTGCTCAGCAGGCATGTCTGGGGGAGGGAGGCAGCAGGGAGGCAGATTGAGGCCTCCATGATGAGGGAGGAAGTGGGGCAGATGTAGGTGCAGGAGCTGGTGTAAATAGGGCCCTGGGGCTGGGGTAGGTTGTGGGATGGAGCCGCGGGTGGCTGTCTGGGTCATGGCGGGGGGCTCTCACTGCTGTGTGCACCCCTGGGGGAGGAATGGGAGGCATACACCCCCTAGATTTGTGCACTGGGTGGAGATGGGCTGCCACTACATGCTGGGCTCTGCACTCTGCTGCCTTTGCCCTGGGAGCCAGATGCTGGCGACGCTGTGCCCCCT